ACAGAACAATGGGGGCTATCCACCCTTATCCACAATGTAAAGTAATTCACACAGCCTCGTCCCTCTTCTCTCTGTGAGGAGCAGCAGGTTCAGCTTTCAGAACAAAGTAACAAAAAACTAAAATGGCATTCATTTTTTTAAATATGTCGTGTGGTAATAGATTTATTTATTTTTCTTCTCAAGAGAGTACCAGAATGTGTATTTGATGTTAGTATTTAAAAAAATCTCCTGGGGGAGAATCCCCCCAGACCCCCCTGCAGGGGTTGGGTTTTCAGCATGTCAACTCTTTCACTTGTGGGGAAATTGCAGGATTGGCTCCAGGTCGCCCTTTTTATTTACTACAAGACAAATGTGCCTTTTTATTTCATACAGTTCAATTTGGATTGAGACAGGGAAATAATCTAAACCTCACGCGTGGCATTTCACTGTCGGGGGGAGCGTGTATGTAATTACATTGCAAATACTGACTTGAGCCCCACCACTGTATGGGTTAGCCCTACCATAGATTACCCAACAAAAATACTCTGGAGCCGCAACTGCCGACCCGTATTGCGCATGCGCAGATCTAAGATCCAGTAGAAATGATAAAAAAGTAAAAGTCTGCTGCTTATTGTTCTACTAGGCCAAAATAGAGTCAAAGAGTATATGAGAGTGAGATAATTAATATATTTGGCAGTTTGGAGTAAGTCTGTAGATTTGTTTGTGTGTGTGTGTTTCATGTATAGGCCTCTCACGATAATTAATTTTGTGAATACATTTTCCCGGAAATTATTGCGATAAACGATAATATTGTCGGCACCGTTGTATCATATGACCATTTTAGACCACTGACATAATGATAATATATAATAATAATTAAAGTACATCCTTTCAAACTGCTAGTCACATCCTCATGTAAATGGCAATTTATCGAGGTCAGAAAAGTTATCGAGTTCATTTTTATTTATCGTACGATAAGTCAATTAATTGCTTATCGCGACAGGCACACAATAAAACAGTGGAAACAAACATGTTTGACTTTCATTAGTGAATGAAACTGTGTGCCCTTTATAATCTGTGTCCATTATTGTGTATTTGTATATATTGTATATATATCCTATATATATGCTAAGGTCTCGCTGCTGACACGATAGCAGTCATTTCATGCGCATATGTGTAATTAAACCGAATTAAACCCATGATATCAAAATCTCACTCCAGCCAGGTACCCAAAGTTGGCAACCCTGATATAGTTATATAAATATATACATATATGTGTGTGTGTGTGTGTGTGTGTGTGTGTGTGTGTGTGTGTGTGTCTGTGTGTCTGTGTGTATGTCCGCATCTGTAGCCTGTTATTGTCTCATTATACCACACTGTGAATGAATTAAAAGTAAATATATAAGTCGTCATGAACACATCTGTCCATCAGACAGAGGGCTGCTGTGCCTCCTGTCATCATTAATGGACGTGTAGTGCCGAGAGAAGGGAGACGGAGGCGGTGCATCGGAGGTGCAAATCTCTCTTTATTGGGGAGCAGAAATCGACATGCTGTCGGGTCGAAGGCACAGGAGACAAGAGAAAGTGAAAGGGAGAACACACAGTAGGTACACAGTAGGTACCGTCAACACATGTGTCCGTGCGGAAACAATACCCCCAACCTGTAGTTCCATGCGTGAATTATGTACCCTAGTTAAATAGTGGTCACTACACAAGCCCCCCCAGAATTCAACCATGGACACAATCCTCGCGTCCGGGAGGAAGCACCACAGGGGCCGAGGAGGGCGGGCCATGGAACGGGCCGTCGTCAGGGGGCCGCAGGAGAGGGTCGCGTCGTGGGGACAGGCGTGAAACACCCGGAGGTCCCCAGCAGGGAGGAGCGCTGCCCGGCCGCAGGCGAAGGCACAGCGGCGGCGGGCACGAAGTCCTCGGGAGGAAGGAGCCGTGGACAGGGGAGAAGGGAGACGTGGACAGGGGAGAGGCCAGACGGGGCGCCGTCGAGGCGAACCGTGAGCCGCGGTTAGAGGAGAGGCCAGGCAGGGTCCCGAAGCACGCCACCCGCGGGCCGATGAAGGCACGGGTGACGTTCGAAACCGCCGAGGCGAGGGAAGAGGCGAGACGGGGTCCAGAAGCGCGTCACCCACGGGCCGAAGCAGCCGCGTGTGACGTCCGAAACCGCCGTCGAGGTGGTGATAATAGCGAGAGGGTCCACACGAGGCCGACCAGACATGGTCGAACCTCCTCTCAGACACCAGAAAAAGCTCAAAAATGCTCGTCCCGTCCACGAACAAAAACAGGTGGGCGAAATAGCGAGAGGATCCACGCGAGGCCGACCAGACTTGATCGAACCTCCCCTCCGGCACCACAAAAAAACAAAAATAAAAATAAAAAAAACAGTCGGATGTCAGCCGCTAGCTGCTGTGGCTAGCCGTTGTTAGCTGTTGCCAGCTGCTAGCCGTTAGCAGTCGTGGCTAGCTGATCTCGTTAGTCGCTGGCCGGACATGCAGCCGCATGTCCCGAACAAACCCGGCACGGTCGCGTACCGGTCCCATGGAAGGCTTGCCGTCCCCCAGAGCCGAAAAGCCGTGGAAACGGCGAGCGTCGTCCGCGTCCATTCCGTGGGGCGCACCGAGCCACAGTCCGAGCGCACGAGGCAGCTACGGAGGTCTCCAAAAATCCCCGGCATTCCGAGAAAAGCAGCGCTTTTTGCCGTGTTCGATTCAGTCTCGGATCCTTCGCGAGACTTATGTCAGGGTCACCACTGTAGTGCCGAGAGAAGGGAGACGGAAGCGGTGCATCGGAGGTGCAAATCTCTCTTTATTGGGGAGCAGAAATCGACATGCTGTCGGGTCGAAGGCACAGGAGACAAGAGAAAGTGAAAGGGAGAACACACAGTAGGTACACAGTAGGTACCGTCAACACATGTGTCCGTGCGGAAACAATACCCCCAACCTGTAGTTCCATGCGTGAATTATGTACCCTAGTTAAATAGTGGTCACTACAGACTCTCTTTAAAATGACCGCTCAGAGGAGAGGAGTTCTCATTTCTCTAACCGCCTGCTGCTTCCCCTCCTCTCTCCTCGGCTCCCCTCCTCGGCTCCTCCGCTCGCATCTCCTGTGGGCGGGACTAAGTCTCGAGGATAGGAGTCGAGGAGGGGAGTCGAGGAGGGACATTTGATGACATGAGAACGGGCCAGTGTGTAGGGGTAGGGTGTAGGGGGCGGTTTGGGATTGGGCCATCCTGTGTCCGCTCCAGTGTGTTTGGCCAAAAGGTCCTCGGGGGAAACAAACACTGACCAAAGAAGGTTTCTGTTTTAGGTGGGAATGTATTTATGTTTATTCTGTTCAGTTATAATGTTTGTTTTGGGTTAAATGAACAGATGGCTAGAAACAACTGGTAATGCTATGAACGTGATGTTGTGGATGTTCTTTATGACAATTATGATGACATGTGGTTTTATTATCATTACCTGTGAATGGTTTCTCCCAGTTACATCCTTGGAAGATCCTCTATAAATGAGCCAGTCTTCAGTCGGAGAGGGTTATTTTGTTAGCCCCATAGGGCCATTTTAAGGGTGGGGCGTAACATCAACATATCTGGTGCCAAGGTTGAACTCATCAGAAGACCACTCTTTATCACATGCAGAGCTTCAGCATCTTCCTCATCTCATCATCACCAGTGTTGGACTCCACAGGGGGTTAAGTACTCTATTTACGGCTTTATCAAATCTGGTATAATGTGATCTTAAAGGGCCCATGTCATGGCCATTTCCACTGATCATAATTCCATTGTTGAGGTCTACTAGAATAGATTTATATTGTGCAATTTTCCAAACTCACATTGGTTTCTCATACAGCATCTCTGTAAACTACTTGTATTCACTGAATTTCACTCTCTGCCTTTAACGGCTCGTTGTAGCTCCAATAGCTCTAGCCCCCACCCTCCCTGTGAGGTGTTGTTTCCTTGTTAGCGATACACAGCCAAACTCATCCTGAGCACACACAAAGTCACAGCCGAAGTAAAAACAATAAGTGTGGCTTGATATTGAGTAAGTAAAAGGTTGATAAACGCTGTGAGAATGGGTCTGCAGAGAGAATTTCGCCGCGATCCCAACTGTCTGTTATCAGCCTGCAGGGACGGGCAATTGATTGACCAACAATGTTGTTGACTAATCAGTTAAAAATAGAATGTTTGATTAGTCAAATGATAGAAACTCGCTAATGCATCAAGGCTCCGAGAAATTGCCAACAGTCTCGACACTAAGCTGCCTGTGGTTAAATCAATTTGGATGTCATAACATGAGCTGTTTAATTTGTGCTTCTGCTTTTATGGCTGTTTGTTTTCCAAAGTAAAGTAGTTAAATGAGCTGCTTTTGGATACCAGCAAAGTAGAATACACTTTTAAATGATATATAAAACTAATATTAGGTGATTACTGTGTCAAACTTTCCCATCACCTCCATGCTCAATTATTTCTTTATTCCTCACAATCGCCGCTTTTAATTAAGTTGCAAAGTGGTCCAGAATAATTTAACAATACCATATTTTAATTTGATGGCAACTACAATGTCTCTGAATGTATATATTATTTCAATGATCAACGATCCAATCTTATCGATGCAAAGTGAATACATTTTAACAATCATATTATAAGGTGTAATGTGCAATACACGTGCTCCAAAAGGAGGGGGGCAGCATTGCCGGTTGCTGAATTTATATTGACCAATGCAATTGAACACATACATTTTTTTCTAATGAACATACAGAGGAATATGAAATAGAAGATTCAAATAACTACTGCCAAGCACACCAGAAATTGCATCCATACAAATATGTCCCCACAAGTGACCAAAAAAAATCATTGGTCCCCACAACTGATACAAATCAAACCGTGTGTGTTTGTTTAAGGAGACAAATTATAATTTACTAGTACTTTTTGAAGACAGATAACCTTTATTTTCACAATGGTTCTCTTAAGATATATAATCAGGAATGCATTATACAAAACAAGTATGGCATTCAAATGTTATCCAAAACACTAATACAACACATGCACTAAGCATACATTAAGCATAAAAGGAGCATGCATAATTTGTATTGTATTATTTCTTTGTGTGATACTATGAGCTTGATATATGTTTTCAAAGCTAATACTGTACCTTCAGATTAACAACTTTTATATTACATATACACATCAACTACAACTGGACAACCTGTGATACATACACATTGTGCATATTAGACACCGAAGACATGAAAAGATGAGATATAGTCATTCTAGTGTAATTCTTTTAATGGAAACAGACAATTGTGTTTTTATGATGTAGCAATAATCACCTCTATCCAGTGTTCCATTTTAAAAAGATAATAATTAAGAACAGACTTACCACTGTTAAATAGAAAATAAAGAAAACTTTGTTGACTTTTTTTGCCACTCTAGTCCAGTAACCAGGCTTCGCCACTTCCTTGGTGTTGCTGAGGAGCAGGGACAATGTTTTCTGCATCTCCCTCAGCTCATCTGAGAGCTTCTCCAAGGCATGATACTCCTCAATCACCTTTCTGCTGTTGCCCTGCAAAACATATTTTGTAGACTGGTTCACACAACTATGGATTTTACCTTTATCATCAGTTATGTTTGCGATTTGGCATTTTGTGGCAAAGTGCAACTCAAATCTAACCTCTTTGGTTACAGGCAGCAATTCAGACGGAGTTTCACACACATCATAGATACAGCCGCATTGAGTCCATTCGTTCCCCTCTGAAAGGAAAATGTCCCCCCCAATTCAACATATTACGATTAACCGGAAAGTAAGAAAAACAACAACTAAAAGACATCATAACAAGAGACCATTTTGAAATAGGATCACAACATTTAAGACGCTTTATAGGTCCGGGGCACAAAGAGGGCTTCATAATGGCCCCTTCTCCACCATGGTGGAACCCATCTTCAAAATGGAAAATCGATCCTGGTCTTACCTTGGTGACTATTGTGGAAGTTGGCCTTGCCCCTCTTGTTACAGTCCTTGTTCCGACCATTATCTGCCTTGTTGTCTTGGGATGCTTGGGAGTCTTTTTCAATCAGATGCATCACCAAAATTGTCTCCAGGAGGCTTAGTAGCATCAGAGCAAAAATCCCAATGCAATAAACCGCTGAGGGAGAAGGCAGCAGCATTAATAAAGACAAATAAACACACATTGACAGTCCAATATGAATGACTCTAAGCTGCTTTACCAATAAGAGGAATCCTGTTTGAAGAGGCAGGGAGAATGTCATTTAGAATAAGTTGTAACACAGTGACAGCGAGCAGCACAGTGACCTTGAAGCTGAGCTTCTCTCCCCCGCTGTCTGAGATCAGGAAGGAGGCCAAGTCCAGACACAGGAAGAACAGGACAGGTACCAGGAAGTTGACAATATAGAGGAGAGACCGCCTCTTCATGGTGATCTGTGAAAAAAATGTTGGTGTCAGATGGTTGATATGTTTAATCTTGAAATACTATGAAATAATACGTTAAAATAACAATTATATATGTTCGTCTAATAAAAAACTTTGTTTGTATAGCATCTTTCATACAAAAAAATGCAACACAATGGGCTTTTATATAAAAGTTAAACTTTCTTAGAATAAACATAACATTAGGAATAGAATGCTAATGCAGCATGCACATTTGCATCAATGCAGCTGCATCAAAAAGGTCTCTTTTCACTTCTACTCTGTTCTTATTTTTCTACATCAGTGGTTTGGATTTGATTTTTAAGACAAATAGGTATTTTTCCTCGAGTGCATTCTCTATCAATAGGTTTATTTGAGGAAAAACCTGTAAAATGGACTCAAGAAAAGATATTTCTGAGATACAATTTTATTTACATTTTCAGATCAGATAAAGTAGCAAAAGTGGGAAGGAAACAAATGGAAAAGATAAATATTGAGGACCAAAACGTGAAAGAAATAAGGAAAGGTTGATGGACAGAACATTATGGGGGTAATGAGCGAATAAGGGACATTTGGTAACAAACTGAAAGAAAAAAGGATACTTTGTACATCTGTATACGTACAGTGTAAATGATGATGTCTTGGCTGATCAGATCACTGGCGTTGTTGGTGGTAACGGTCATGTTGAGAAACAGCCATTCGTACTGGGTCCGCATCACGTCACGGGACCACAATGTGGCCTCTGTAGAGTTGTCGCTTGGCTGGAGTCGAATGTCCTTTGCTGGAATGAAAGATAAATGGACGGAAAGGTGATTTTAGATGAGAATGGACGTAAAGTGATGGGAGTGGTTGAGACAGTAAGCCATTGTAAGTTTGATTCACAAGCCAGTAGAGGCAGCAGGACATACTTTATTATGTTGGAAATACGGAATAAACTATTTAACATTAAAACCAAATTAACTTGATCTGGTGCAAATAAAGAGGGTACATCTATAAACAATGTTAAAACTCATTTGTTGTATAGATATTAATGTTGATAACATTCACACCCATGGTGAACAAAAGGGGTTTCAAGAGGTGTTTGAATGGGTTGTCAACATTGTTGCAGAGCCCTCTCAGTAAATGGAGAGAGGGTACAGCAAGAACTAAGTCCCTGGCCCTGGGAAGTGGTGAGGTGTGGGCGAGGGGTGCTGTAAAGCTCAAGATAGGAGTCGCAAGCCGCCTTCACCCTGGGCCTTAACAAGCTGAAACTAGAGGCGGTCTTGCTACACCTCCACAGAGGCACTTGAAAGATGTCCCAGAGGATCCACCCACAATGTGAGACTGCCTCTAACCTGCAAAGTTGAATCCCTCAAGCAAACTCTACACGTTGGCAAGTGTACAAATATTCATTATGAAAATGTGGCGGAGCAGACTGTTTTTAATGTGAAGCACTGGAAAATTATGGAAAAAAGTTTAGTTTTTTGTATTAAAAGTTGTAGCATGACATGATTGAGTTCATTTGCTGACATTGCACATGCAGAAGTGTGACTTTTGCTTTGTTTAAACACTTTAGGTAGCATTGCGACTGGTTTATTCACAGGCCGAGTGCATCATTGCAAAGACAAAAGGTATTTTTTAAGGGGCAGTTTTTCACAAAGCTGATTTGTATGATGCAAAAAGAAATGCTGCTTATTTTTAACTTATTTCCTGCAATGATTCACCAGTTTCAAGATTAATTGTTACATTTTTTTTTGCTACCTTTCTCGATCAATATAGTCCACCCTGAGGAACTTATTTCTTCAATGGACCATCATCATTGGGCATCTGCATAACATTTGCTGGATTCCCCCATTAAAACTACCTCACCAGTTATTTTATTACCTCATGTCACAACAAACTCTTACAGAACTCGCCATGCTCTCACCGGTGTGTATGGTAGACTTGAAGGAGAGGTTGCAGTTCTGTATGTCAAAGGGGAACTTGTAAATGTGCATCCTGCAAGTGCTGACCAGCACCTGGTCGTTCTGGACTTCAACATCACCTTTATCATTGATGGTGAGATAAGGACTCGGAGGGGCTTTGTCCTTCTCTGTCCTGTAAGAGAACACACAGAGACATGTGAACACAAAAACACAAATGATGGCAATTGATTCAGGACTTTTTCAAAATAAGAGAAGATATAATTGACAAGGATTATTTTACCAAATTAAAAGTCCATATGCATCCCTACTGGTACAGTGCCTTGCTGAGATAATACTATAAAATAATTATTTAAATAACGGTCCAGATCACAAATATGACTTGGTCACAAATAAGAAAAAATACAAAGGGTAAACATTACGTGAACTATTGATGTTTACTGCAAAAGACAGACATGTATTTGTTTAGTCTAAATTGTTAATTTTCTAACTACATTAGCATCTGACCAATACAGAAAAAGTGTGTGTGTGTGTGTGTGTGTGTGTGTGTGTGTGTGCGTGCACACACGTGTGTGCAGTTACACTTACATTTCCTCAATAGTGATATCTGGTATCCACAACACTTCAGCAGGAAGAGAAACATTATCAATTCCACAAAACTGATTTGGATCCCAGGATATGTATTCATTGTTCCACCTCTACAGAGGAAAACAGAAACAGGATCCACGGTAACATAATAAACATAATATATCGTTTAAATGGAAAAACATTTCCAAACAAAAGTTCCTTCAGGATTAATTACAGCACTCACCATGACAGTCCAAACATAAGGGATGAATTTCTGATCTTTCTCAACCTGTAAACAAATAAATAACGAGTATGTGTTAGGTCTGATTCGGACTAAAGTGAGTTTAAAGAGGTCACCCGGTGAAAGTTGAAAATAATAAATTATATTATTCGTAATACATGAAAACCTGCAGAAGTTGTCCCCTGGTATGGCATAGTAATACAAATCTGGGCTCAATCACACTTGTTTACATTACATTTGGTGACTTAGGCTCAATTAAAAGTAAATATTGCGAAAGCTAATAAGATTATTGTTTCCTTATGTTCCAGCTAAATGTTAATCAATTGCCATATTTGTAATGTTATTTAGTTTATTATAGACACACGTGAATACAAGGTAGTATCTCCATTCAAATTTGGAGAACAGAACAACTAAAGGAACCCATTTGCTTGTACTGCATTTCCTCCTTAAAAACCCTGAAGATTGTACAATGAGCTTTTTCGTCAGAATATCTTTTCACAGTTCGGGAAAACATGAAAGCTTTCACTTACCACATCCAGAATGGCATAGAGCAGCACTTCCAGAGAAACCCGTGTGGGGCGCTTATAGTTTTTAACGGGGCGGGTCATTGAGTACAGCTCATTGGTTTTGGTCAGCTGCAGGTGGTTTAAAACATCCTGATAACTGCAGTTATTCTCAGGTAACACCCCATCTACAGCAAAAACATCAAGACATTCAGAAAATGACTCATTACATAATAAGGTAATGTGGAAACATGCTCTTTTAAACTTTCCTTCTAAATTAGAACTACTGGTGTTTGTCTGGACATTCAGAGAAAAATGACATAATTCTCTGTGGGTAGGTTTTCATTGCTTCTGAGTGTATTATCAAACCAGAAATAAACACCAGCTCACACATATCTGCAGCAATATCCTGTGGTTGTGGTCACTGAAAGTCCATTATGAGATGGGCGTTGGCAGAACTGCAGGGGTTTTATCCAACCAGTCCACTAATGACTTTCGAAAGTGATCATTAATACAGTAATTCAAGATTAAATGGGGCTCTCCATCAGAGAGATATCTGCTATTAACGCCAAATTCCATGTTGTTGAAATCATGCACCCTTTTCCGGCTCATATCCCGGTATATAAACCTAATTATGTAAGCAAAGTTCTCTAAGTACACTGTTTTTTTTCTTTTAATGTTCCTATAATAAGCCATTTTTTAAATGTCATTAAAAAAGAAAACAAATTCTATATTTACAATTTTGATATACTTACTTCCTTTCTTTCTTTCTTTCTTTCTTTTTTTAGTACATTTTGGTATTACTCTGGAAACCAAAAAATTGTTCTTTAAATGAGCAGAACCAGAGGACTGTCATTAAATAAATAAACAGGCTTACCTGTGAGGAAGAGCAGAAAGATGAAACCAGTAAGCATCATGGCAGCAACAACTGTGAGAATCCAAACAGAGTGAGATGTCTGCACAGGTAATGTCGTCCTCTCAGTACTGTCTGGAAATTTCCCCAAGTCTCCCACATACCGGAAGATGCTTTTTTTTTAATCACATTATTATGACAGCCAGACGTGGTCACTCCCACAGTGGTCATCCCAGAATTCCTCTGTGTTCTCATAGAGGAAAAAGAGGCTGGAGACTAAAGTGGACTGTAATGATGTTTAATGGTAAAAGTAAGTAAGTGACTAATAAACACTTTGCATACTCCAGACAATGTAATACATATACAAATACATATACATACAAGTCAATAGCACCTCATTTATTATAAAGTTAGTACTATTGATAACATTATATACACTTGATGATAATGTTTTAAAATATCTGTTACCATTTGCTTGAAAAGGGGATTTAAATACACTTAAAGGTGGGGTAGGTAATTTTGGAGAAACCGGCTCGAGATCGCTAGAATTAGAAAATACACAGCCGGAAGAAATCTGCCACTTCCTTACAGAGCCCCTCCTCCAATACACACGAACGCGCACATGACCAATGAGGGCACGAGATAAGTTTGTGCACAGATGGAAGGCTGACAGGCAGGTAGGCCATCCAATCATTTTAGCCGGGCCGGCTAAAATGATTGGTCGTGCTTTTTACAGTACTACGGCTTCCACAGATGACATTTTTTTATGGATTTTTTTGTCAAAGCACTTAAGATATTCATTGCTATCGGGATGTTAAGAGCATTCAATGGAATATAACAAAAAGTGTATCTCGAGCCGGTTTCTCAAACTTACCTTACCTTTAATTCAAGATAACACATTTCATAAAAATACATGTTAGTTTTTATTTTGTGATCTTCAAATAAGAGTAAAGTTCTGGAGCTACCTTCAAAGTGAAATCACTGCTTAATTATCAGATTTGTAATCATCACATTTGAAGAAACAGAACCTTTAAAGGTCCCCTATTATACTGTTTTTCATCAATATATTATAGGTGTCAGATATACAAAACATGTCTCTGAAGTGTTTGACTCGAAATACCAAACAGATCATGCATTGTAGCATCCCATAATCCCCTCTGTTTCAACCCTGTTTCAAAAGTGCTGATTCTCTGTCTGTTACTTTAGATGAAAATAAGGAGCCCCTCCCCACGCCCCTCTGAGAGATATTTGGTTAAAAAAAACACAATGGTGCTCTAGGAGGAGATTCAGGTGATCAGGTGAGGGGGGGGGTTACCTTGGTTGGTTATTGGCTAATGGTTACACAAGCCAAAAAATCGTTATGACATCATAAAGAGGCCAAATAATTAGAGATGTTATCGGGAGAAATAGAGATGAAATGATTGGATACGAAGTTCTCTTTCAATTCTTCTGTTATATATTGTGGACCTTTTATGCTTATCATACTCTTTTTCTATTAATCATGTAAACCTAAGAACCTTAATAGTGATAGAGTAATTACTTTTTTCCCATTTGACTAAATAGCTATAACTTTGTTCCTTTCAATTTGTTTTATGAATAGTCGACGGCCACACTGGGAGTTCTGTGAGGTCCTAAAATGAATCAAAAACAAGAATTGGTTTGCACATTCCCTCTAGATTATGTTATTATGATGTGACCACACTATGGTTAAATACAAAATATGTTATTTTCATAGCAAAAGGGATTTCTCAATCCATACAAAAACAAAAGACAAAGTTTGGTGGCACCATGAACTAATGTAAGACCATGGGTGTTGTTTTACTCACCAACAGTCTGCTTCTGCCGGTTAGACTATTTCTTACCTGGGGCAGAATTGAAGGCAAAGGTATCTTCCTCTCCAAAACAAACAAACAAATTAAAACAGTTGAAAACAATGAATGAAGCAGTTTCACTTTAAAAATAAGTGTTTCTTGACTGCTGTAAAGCTGCTGCTAACACTGCAACCAGTTTTCATAGTGTCTGCCCGTTATAGTTATAGAGGCTGAAACAAAACAAGTGGTGTAATGAGGCAACAAAAGTGAGCCATTACTTATGTCATTATCTATAATATGTTGTGCTGCTTTGAAAAGTCAAATTGTCTGCTGTGAAAAGGTCTACAGTTGAGATATTTCAGTCTGGACTAAAGTGATTGATGTGCCAACATTGCCTGCGAGCATGACGAAAAAAAATATCCACTGTGATTCGATGTGCTGGAACAATGTCCTGAGGGGACTTCTGATAGGCAGCTTGAGCGATGAGTGTGCACATGATTTTGTCGGCTCTTATTATTTAACACCCTCCTTTTTGATTGCATTTATAACATAAAGGATATCAGGCTGGTGGGGACGGCCATGATTAGTTTAAAGTGTCGGAGTGACAGATGGGCTGTGAGGTAAAAGTAGACAAACAGGACATGGGGGTAATATCCATTGCTCTGTATAAAGAGATAATTTGAAATATTACAGAGTTAAACAAAAGAAATGATGTCCGTGATGGATGGAATTGGAGGCAGTAAAGTCTCTCTTTATTCTCTTACATCGCCCTCATGACTGCGGTGACTACATTGAGGTGCATCACCGGACACAGCTGCACTTTCATTAATACAGTTAGGTAGTGAGAGACGTGGGGGTGGGGACAGGTGGGCAGAGGTCTGGTGACAGCAGGGCTAAAGAGGAACAGGGGAAACTAATTAGGGCGCAGCAGCCAATCAAAGAACGGTAAATACATCTGTGGATTCACATTCAATTACTTTATTCTTTCCATTTTAAGACATTTACAGGTCCTAATAAACATCCATTGTAGCTTACAAATTGATATTTCATTGTCCAATGCTGAGTCTCAATTTGCACATATACTGTATGTACTGACATTTGCTGGCAAAATGCAGTGCACTATGATGGTGCATTTATAATGAGCTACCAGTGAATGAAGCAAGTTATAAATGTATCCAAATTGAGACACAGCTTATGATTCCAGAAGGTTTAAAGCAGCCATTGTTCGAATCGAAATTCAAAAATGTAGATTTTACTTTCACAGCCCTATTCAAAGTCCATGCCTTAAACATGGGCAACTGGTAAACATGTATTAAGCTTTTAACAACAGTATAATTCTTTGCAAGACACATTTACAGAATTATGTAACTTTACTTTCAAAGTGGGAAAAGTCATCTAATTTGAACTACATAAAATAGATTTGACAAAGCGATACTATAAATACACAATGTGTGATTTTATAAGAGCACGACAATTGTGGAAATAAGGGTAAAACACAGAAACCTATGGTATTACAAAGTATTATTTTCCATGTGTGTTCCACTCGATGAAGATGAGGGCTAGAAACAGTGACACAGCGGTGAGATAGAAAATGAAGAAAGCTTTGTTGATTCTTGCCGCCCATTGGCTGCACTTCCCTGCTTGGTGTCTGCAGTTCAGGTGTAGATTCAGAGTGAGCTGCAGCTCCTTCAGCTCCTCCAGGATCAGCAGCAACACGTGAGACTCTCGCCACTGAATGCTGTTGTTAACCTGCACCAGGAGTCCCAGAGTCATGTTAGAGTGGTTTCATGGTAATGTACTACAAGCAGGGTGGACATTGACAAAGTGCATGTTATCACACAAGATAAACACAGGTTTAATAGTGTAATATATAGTAAAACATGTGTTTTCATGAGAATTTTAAGAAAACTGGCTAGAGAAAATGGAAATGAATGCATTTCTCCATCCACTATTGTCAGGCCAATATTGGGAATATTAAGAGTTGGTTTATTGGTATAAACAATGGTGTTGATTCTCCAGTTGGGCGCCATCAAACCATTGCAGAAGAAGATGACCTCACAAAATGTGAATAAAAGAGTCAAATGATCGGAACCGTGTGGGAAACATAATTGAAATAGGCCATTTATGGGTTTTTTATGTATCTATTTCATAAACATTTTCAGTTTCCTAATTGCTCCCACAGATCGGACATTTTCCTGTCATCAGTGGATCTTTAGGTCACAAGTTGTAGTATTAAATGACATAAGATCCTGCATAGATGCAAGAGAAACTATGATTATGTCCACCTGTCTTGATAATGATTACTTAATATTGCTTAATTTGATAAACTATAGTGCCTTACCACTTCAGCCACCGGCAGCAGCTCATGTTGTTTCTCACTGTCAGACACTTTGCAGATGCATGGACAGCAGTTTTCTCTTTTCTCCTCTAAAAAGAAAGTACAATTATTATGATGAAAAAACTGGAGAGTTGATGTCTTTGTGTTAGTCAAATGAATGTGATTTGTGTGAAAAGATATGATCAAAAGTGTTATGTGATTTCAACTAAAATCATTAGTAGAATTGTTTTCAAACTGTTAAGTTTGTGGATCATTCAATCATTTGGTTATCTGGGTCTTACCTGTGTTACAGTTATTGACTTTCTCCTGTTGTTCCTCCAAGTTGTTCTTCAGCCTGAGCTTCTCGTGGGAAGCAGAGTCTTTCTCCATGAGATACGTTACCAAAATCGTCTCCAGCAGGCTGAGCAGCATCATAGCAAAAATCACAATGCAGTAGGTCGCTGAAAGGATGAAACAGACAATAACAAGTAATGCTGTTTAATTCACAATCCAGTGAACAATACGCCCTCAAAGTGTCGGTCAGTACATATGAGAGGAGTCTTGTCGGACATGGAGGGAAGGATGTCATTCAGGATGAGCAGCAGGACGGAGATGGCCAGCAGCACGGTCACTTTGAAGCCCAGCTTCTCTCCTCGATGGTCTGCTATGAAGAAGGAGGCGATGTCCAGACTCAGGAAGAACAGGATGGGTAACAGGAAGTTGATGACATGGAGGAGGGGCCTCCTCTTCATGGAGAACTAGGAAAAAGGGTCATGGTGATCAACAGGACATTTTGACATCTCTGGATTTAGAAATTCAACCTTGAGTAAAAGTGGACAATTCCAAATCTGATGAAATACCCTTTAAAGAGTTATCACAAAAAGGAGAATGGATGGATGAGGCAAAAAACATCCTGTTAAAAAACGTGTAGCTGCTGCTGCCTCTCAAGGCACTTGGATACTCACATCATTTTTACAGTAACTTGTTTTATGTAACTCGACAGTGTGAATAATGTCCCTGGTCAGAAATTCGTAAAACTGACTTGTGAATATTTGATGTCATTTATTTTTGCTCACAACAACATAATTTAACCTATTCAAGAACACCAAATAGAAATAAATGCATACACTGTACTCACATCATACCTCCAGCTACATAGTGCATTATATAATCTACTGTTAGCATCACCTGTAATTACACCTACACTCAATGTGTTCATATTGTATTAATCTAAGCATATGTTAATACTGTTAACACTGTTCACACAGCTCATATTAAATATAAGCATATTCCACTCATGGTTTATTTCGAATTACAATTTCTCTACATTTTCCTCTGTAAATACTCGGCTCGTCTGGTTAGATGCTTAACTTTGTCTCAGAGCCTACGATATGAGAACATTTGATATAATATATATTCTGTATAAACTCACAGTGTATATGAGCTGTTCCCACTGTCTATTGCCGAAGGTGAAGTTGTTGCTGGAGATGGACAGATGGAGGAACTCCCACTCCCCCTGAGACTTTATCACCTCTCGGGAAAACTGGGTGGCTCGAGACGCGTCGGAGAAAGGGAGGATACGGAGCTCATCAACTGAGGAGAGAGGGAGGGAGTACTTTTCAGAGAACAAGCCAAAACAAAGTAACCCGAGGCAGCCACGCACACTCCCCCTCCTCACCGCAGTGTATCGCAGACCCAATGGAGATGTTGCACTTCTGTGTGTCGAAGGGGAACTTATGGACGTCCATCCTGCAGGTGCTGACCACCCTCAGGTCCTCTTCAGAGGTGACTGTCCCGTCGTTCAACACGTGCAGGTACGGATTCAGAGGGGAGTCATCCTTCTGTATCCTGACACACAAACACAGGTCATGTTTGAAGAACTGTGTAAACTGTTCCAGATAAGCAGAGTGAATAGAGGATGAAGCTCCTTTACAGGTTAATGTGATTGCTTATGATTGCTCTTCACAATAAAGACAACTGGTGTGTACATTAATTATAGTGAGCACACATGGTCTGTAGCATCAGCAAATATCAAAGTATTAAATTACAGAATGCATGTGAAGAAAGAACAAACTCCCATTCTCTATCAAGAATTTCCATTCACTGCATTAAATACAATTATTTGAAATACTTTTTAACTTTGCTTTCTCAAACTTAAAGTCTGTTTTTGTGTCACTGCTTATGTCTTTCTTTTTTATTTCTCTATTCATAAGCACCAGTTTGAATCTGTGTGTGTTGCAGGCTCACATCTCATAGATGAACAGGTCTGGCGTCCAGAGCATTTCTCTTGGAACTGAAATCGAATTTATTCCACAAAACTGATCGGGGTCCCATTTGATGCGTTCATTGTTCCACGTCTGCAGTAAATGAAAGGTGTATGACCAGAAGAATAAGACACAGCTAGATTTAGACAGTTTTAATAAAACAACAGCTAACCAACCAGTGTTGGCTGAGGGTCAAAGGTGATCAGAAAGAGAGATTTTGCATTTAAATAATAAAAACTCACCATTGTTGCCCAGACGAAAGGAATAAAAGTTTGTGTTTTCTCAATCTGGGAATAACACACACACATAAGTCAGGACAGATCATATGCATGGCAACATTTAGCAGGTGAATCATACACCTACCACAGCCAGGATGGCGTAGAGGATGACGTCCAGCTGCACCACGGTGGGGTGTTTGTAGTTCAGCACGGGCCGGGTCAGTTTATACACGCCGCTATTGGTGGTCAGGTTCAGGTAGTCCACTACATCCTGGTAACTGCACACTTTCTCAGAGGAGGACCCGCCTGCAGTACAACAGAGAGCAGTTTGGTATTTAATCTTTCATCAAAATAAATAGGTTAGCTCTTTTTTTCATATATATATTTAATTTAATCTATAATTATTGATTGTTATTTGTTCATGTTTTTGCAATGTCTGGGTGTAGCAAGTATTGGTGCTGATGATAACAATGATTATTAAGAATGGACAACAGTGTGTAATAAATATATGATAATACATGTGTAAATTGACCAGCAAATAATAAATGTACACTTTTGTGCAGTTATGGATATCTCTTCACCTCCCTTCTCTTGTCTTTTATTTAACAAACTGTTGATAATTCTGTAGTTACTTGTTGAGATAGCTTAAAGATTAAATTACACTTATGTTCACTGTGCAGTTTTGAAATGTATGCTTCGATAAGAAGAGTGCTTTTGGATTCTTGGTTCATTAAGAACCTTACCTTCTTTAAATTAAGCATTGTTTACTTCCTATCAAGAACAGTACGTTATTTATTTTTAAACAGCAAAGTTAAGAAAGAAACCAAATAAGTCATGGCTTTGAGTTTGACCAAAGTTGAACCTTTTTGCTTCAAGATTAACAATTCAAACTTCAGTATGATATGAAATGGCTTTGACAATAAGTACAGGCTCTACTTCCTCACAGTTTATAAATCCGATATAAGCAGAGCTATGGAAAATGTTATACTAAAGTTCATCATTGACACTATGCTGTCAAATGAGGAAACAATAATATTTGAGACACTTTTTGGAGGTTAAACACATAAACATGCTAATGAAGCACAAAGTCCTACCTGTGAAGACGATCAGGAGGAGAAAAGCAACGTGCATCATGTCTGCAGCCGTGTGTGTGCTCCTGCTGTGAGACCAGAGACTTTGAGCAGACACGGGCTGGGCTGAAGGACTGACCCCTGCCTGAAGTGAAAAACCCCTCCCACAATGCAGCATCATCAGGCCTTGGTTTGAGCCTCGAGTCAAGTGAAATTAAAGGTAACAATAAACCACGGGGAAGGCAGGTGGGGAGGATTCATCCATCTGAAAGGACACATAATGTGGATTTACAGAAACTTATTTGACACTGGTGACTAACGGATAGTTATGTGAGTGCACACAGTTGCAAAACAGATTTCTACTGCAACACTTGCAGAGCAGCCCACGTCAAATGAGAAAGTACAATTCAATTAGAGTGGAACTTGATAACCAGATGGAAGTGGTAATTACATTCAGAACATTGCAGCCATTTAAAGCCACTTGTTCTTGTTGACTTCCCGCTGTCAGGCTCACCACAGCATTAAAGCTGCTTTATTATTCATGGAAGATGTCTTATTTTGAACAGTAAGTGACTTTGCAAATGCAAAAATGCACATCTTAATGGACTGATGTTCTTTCACTGAAGTTTATGAACAACTAATGATTTTCTTTTTCATTATTCAATATTTCTGAACAATAATAGTAAATCTAAAGGGTTTTAAATCCCATTCAATGTTTATCCTATTTTTGTATTCCCTAAATGAATAATTATTGGTAAATTATTTGATTAATTTTCTGTCAACTGAGTAGCAAACGAGTTCTGAAGTTGAGACCAGGAGGCGGAGTCTCAGTCTTACACGCTTCTCTGCGCTCTCTCCTGGGCAGTCATCCATAGGAATCCCGAACCCAATAAAATACCCAATATTAATGGTGTGTGTGTCTGCCCAAGGAACATTTAAGGTAAAACCTAATAGAGGTGTCATACATAATAACCTAATAAAAGTAAATGTAACAACTACTACAGTGCAACAAAACAGGAAGATTAAATGTGGTCTCTTAAACATAAGATCTCTAGCATCTAAAGCAATATTGGTAAATGATTTAATATCAGATTATAATATTGATATATGCTGTCTCACTGAAACTTGGTTGGGACATGAAGAATATGTCAGCATAAATGAGGCCACTCCACCCAGCCATATCAATACTCATATTGCTCGAGGCACAGGTGGAGTTGCAGCAATCTTTGACTCAAGCTTACTTATCAATACTAAACCAAAATTAAATTATACCTCCTTTGAAAGCCTTGTTTAGTCTTACGCATCCGACCTGGAAAACATTGCAGCCAATCTTATTTGTTACAGTGTACCGTGCACCAGGTCCTTATTCAGAATTCTTATCAGAATTCTCTGAGTTTTTATCAACTTTGGTACTTATAACAGATAAAGTAATTATCGTAGGTGACTTTAATATTCATGTTGACGATGATAAAAATAGCCTTACTGTTGCATTTAACTCTGTATTAGATTCTGTTGGTTTCCGTCAGAGTGTAAATAAACCAACCCACTGCTATAATAACACTCTCGACCTTGTTCTGACTTATGGTATTGAAATTGAGCAACTATTAGTCGAACCGCATAATCCTGCTTCATCCGACCATTTCTTAGTAACTTTTGAAGTACTGTTACTAGACTACAAACTGTTAGTCAAAAGTTCCTGCAGCAGAAACCTATCTGTTAGTGCTATAGCCAAATTTAAGGAAGAGATTCCACCAATACTTAACTCGATAGCATGTCTGTATGTAAGGGAGGAAATTTATACAAAATGTACACCACCCCAATTTGATCATGTTGTTGATAGTGCTACAGATGCGCTGCGAATACAATTAGACTCTGTTGCTCCTTTGAAAAAGAAGAAAATAAAACAACATAGATTAGCTCCATGGCATAATGCTGAAACCCGCAAAATAAAGCAAAAGTCGAGACAACTTGAAAGGATATGGCGTTCCACTAAACTTGAAGAATCTTGTTTAATCTGGCATATTACTCTCAATGAATATAAGAAAGCACTGCGTAAAGCGAGAGCAGCTTACTACTCTTCATTAATAGATGAGAATAAGAATAATGCAAGATTTCTTTTCAGCACTATAGCCAGGCTGACAGAGAGCCACAGCTCTATTGAGCCTTCCCATAGTACTCAGTAGTAATGATTTGATGTGCTTTTTTAACGATAAAATTGTTACTCTTAGAAGCAAAATTAATGACCTCTTGCCTTTGACCAGTATAGTGTTATCAACAGCTCCCGGAAACGTAAGTTCTAATATTACACTAGATAGTAAATTAGAATGCCTTTCAGCCATAAACCTTGAACAATTAAATTCAATGATTCTCTCTTCTAAACCATCAACGTGTATCTTAGACCCGATTCCAACTAAGCTGTTAAAGGACGTTTTTCCATTAGTTAGCACTTCTTTATTAAATATTATGAATATGTCTTTATTATCAGGCTATGTTCCACAATCATTCAAAGTAGCAGTGATAAAACCGCTTCTTAAAAAGCACAACCTCGATCCAGAGGTTTTAGCCAACTATAGACCTATTTCTAATCTTCCGTTCCTCTCAAATATTCTTGAGAAAGCGGTCGCAAAACAGTTGTGTGATTACTTAAAAAACAATGATTTATTTGAAGATTTTCAGTCTGGCTTTAGAACACATCATAGCACAGAGACAGCTCTTGTTAAAGTCACAAATGACCTTCTAATAGCCTCAGACAAAGGACTTGTCTCTATTCTTGTCTTGCTCGATCTCAGTGCTGCATTTGATACTATCGACCATGATATCCTATTGCAAAGACTAGAGCACTTAGTTGGCATACAGGGAACTGCTTTAGGCTGGTTTAGGTCCTATCTATCTGAACGCTCTCAGTTTGTGTGTGTCAACGATGAATCTTCCATGCAAACCAAAGTTAGCCATGGAGTGCCACAGGGCTCAGTGCTTGGACCTATTTTGTTCACATTATATATGCTTCCGTTAGGCAATATTATAAGGAATAATTCTGTAAATGTTCATTGTTATGCGGATGATACTCAACTATATTTATCAATCAAGCCTGATGAAATTAATCATCTAAATAAAATTCAAGACTGCTTTAAGGACTTAAAAACGTGGATGACTTTAAACTTTTTGATGTTAAACACGGCTAAAACTGAAGTTATTGTACTCGGCCCAAAGAATCTACGAAACAAATTATCTAAAGATATTTTTATTTTATTTATTTAATCGTTTATTTGGCAGGGACAATGCACAGTAATGAACACTTAAAACATTCAAATGTGTCAAGCGTAACAGTGCCAGATTTAGCTAGTTTCCATCCGCAGTCCCTCACATAAAACATTTAAGAAAATTACATTTTACAAACATGGTAAAAACAAAATACATGATTTGAAAAAAGTGCAAAAGAGCAAGAGTAGCATACACAAGTATTTACCACATGGCAGTATAATATAGCATCAACGACATATAAAGTGCAAGAAAAGATAAAAGTGCTACATAAAGTGCAAGAGGAGATACCCCTGTGTTAAAGTGCATTTAGCGGTGATTGCACGTCTGTTTGTCTCTTAACCATTCCCTGAGTTGACCTTTAAAACTATTGAGAGTGGGACAATCCCGTATCTCAGTAGGGAGGCTGTTCCAGAATGAGCTGCCTTTAACGGAGAGGACATTTTGACCAAAAGTGGTCCGTCTATGGTGAACTTCACAGTCTCCTCTGGTTTCTGACCTAGTGCAGCGTCCAGTGTGTTTTTTGTGGATGAATTCCCCTAAGGGAGGGGGGGCCAGTCCATGTAAACATTTATAAATAAAACACATACTTTTAAAAGACTTGTCAAATTGTCAAAACTCAAGAAATTGTGTTTTTCAAGGATGGCACAGTGGTGGTATGAATATGGCTTTCTGTCAAACACCTTGATAGCTCTCTTGTACAGCTGTTCTATTGGTTTCAGGTTTGTGGCACAAGCAAACGACCAGTTTGTAAAACAGTATTCAATGTGGGATAGAATCATACAATGGAGGTATATATTAACTATGGATGGCATTAATTTGGCCTCTAGTGAGACTGTAAGGAATCTTGGTGTTATATTTGATCAGGATTTATCCTTTAACGCCCACATAAAATCAATTTCAAGGACCGCCTACTTCCATCTACGTAACATTGCAAAAATCAGGCATATCTTGCCTCAAAACGATGCAGAGAAACTAGTCCATGCATTTGTTACTTCAAGGCTGGATTATTGTAACTCTTTATTATCAGGGTGTACCAAGAAGTCAGTTAAGTCGCTTCAGCTGATTCAAAATGCTGCAGCACGTGTACTAACCAGAGTTCGGAAAAGGGACCACATTACTCCTGTTCTGGCTGCCTTACACTGGCTCCCTATAGAACACAGGATAGAATTTAAAATTCTTCTTCTCGCCTACAAAGCCCTTAATGGGCAGGCGCCATCTTACCTTAAAGAACTCATTATACCCTATTGTCCTACTAGGGCATTGCGTTCCAAGAATGCAGGGTTGTTGGTTGTTCCTAGAGTCTCTAAAAGTACAATGGGAGCCAGAGCCTTTTCTTATCAAGCTCCACATTTGTGGAATCAGCTTCCAGTTTGTGTTCGGGCGGCAGACACCCTATCCGTTTTTAAGAGTGCGCTTAAGACCTTCCTTTTTGATAAAGCTTATAGTTAGGGCTGATTAGATTCAGCCCCTAGTTTTGCTGCTATAGGCTTAGTTTGTCGGTGGACACCTTACTTATTCCTTCTCTCTGTCTGTACCTGTGTACTCTCATGTTCCGAATAACCCAGCTTCCCCAAATTTCTTTTTGGTGTCTATCTACGCCGGGATCCTGAGTCGTGGCTGATCCTGTTGCTGTGGTCCTGGATCATGAGTCCTGGATGGATATCCTCGTGGATTCATCTTCTTATTATAGACACATGCATTTCCAAACATTTGGACTACCTATGTTGTAAATGTATTATCTTTTCAATTTACACACGGCATCTATTGCACGTCTGTCCGTCCTGGGAGAGGGATCCCTCCTCTGTTGCTCTCCCTGAGGTTTCTCCCATTTTCCCCTTTAAACTGTGGGTTT